ATGGGTGATTTTTATCAAATCTATACAAAATACGTTGATAATCGCGATCCTTTTCAGACATCATTACTTGCATGAACATTTGTTTACAATCTGCAGTAAGTGCTATTTTAAATAATCGGAAATTAATTATAATATTAAATAAGTCCCCCTGTAGGTTGGGGCCCGCATGCAAAATATCATTAAGCGATTTACCCGAGGTGATTTTAGAACTCGCATCTAAAACTACTCTCAATTTGCTGCTCGATTTGTCTTCGCGGACTACACCGTGATGCGGGATATAATATATAGGATTAATGGTACTGTTTTCACTCGTACTAACTGGACCTAAATAACCTTTGCCTATATATTCACGAATGACTTCATTATAAGCAGTATAGAACTCAGGTGACGCTTGAAACTTCCTTCTAAACAATAAAAGCGCTTGAGCGCAGTGCTATAAGATTCCCCCAGTGAAAAAGGATCGTCATTAAATGGCAATGATACTATGTACCTGCCACTGTCATCACGAACTGTATTGGCGCGAAAATGTTCTTCACACTCGAGATCGTCCTGACTCGGTGTGGGCGATGTGGTAACCTCCTCTAACTCCCAGAATCGCTTCAGAAGGGGGTCAAGGGTGTCCTTAACAACGGAACAACAAGAAGTAGTATATTTTTTATTATGCAACGTAGGTACGGAACCCATAATTTCATAACCAAGAACCGTCTCAATGACGGAAGGTGCATTGTAAGTATTATTATATTTATAACTATTTTTAAGTTTATTATTCCTATGGCCTTTATTAGCTAATAACAAATGAGGGAAAATGGCTGCACCTTTTAGCAAGCGGTAGTTTATGTAAATGAGACATTGCGGTCAAGTCAATAGCGGCCGACGGCATTATGTCCGTAATGCGATCGACAATAAGCAATGAAATATCAAAATGAACGTCGTTGTTACAGCGCGAGTGTATTTTCATATCAATCAAACCTTTAACTTAATTTTCCGACCCACCTATACCCTTTACTATAATACGTGATTTTTTTAAATTATTCGTAAGCTTAAGACGCCGTAAACAACTAAAAGTTACAAAGCTACTTTGTGAAGCGCTGTCTAGTAAACAACGTATAAGATGCGGCCTGTTATGTGCATCGTAAACAATCACCTGCGCCGTCGCAAGTAGCACCGTATTATCTACACTGCCCGCATAAGATTCTTTAGAGCGCGACGCAGCAATGGACGTAGCGCATAACGATTGTAAACACGGCTGTGTGGCAGCATTAGGGCTCGTCGAAGATTCATTAGTTGGTCGTGATCGTGAGTCATCGCTAATGATATTATTCGAATTGCTATCGAAATGTAACATGCTATGATGACGCTGATGACATGAACGACATTTTACTTTTGAAGAACAATTGCCTCGTCTTATGCTTTATGCTTAGACAATTTACACAGGCATTGTTATCCTTTACACATTTAAAACGTTCCAATGGTGTAATTTTATTAAACGCCGGGCATTTATAAAAATGCTTCGCGGCACTTCACAGATTGCGATGACGTAACATAAGACTGCGGGTTAGGCGGAGTATTGCGAGAATTCATTTCTTACCTTTGTTTTGATTTATTGTTAGAAAACTCGAACTTTACGAATGTAGTAAAGAGATCGAATGTAGGTATTTTGTGTTCACGAGAACACATCTCAAATGAATGTATGGATTCTTTATCGATTTTTTTTAAAGCTACATGCAAAAGATTGTAGTCCGAGAGGTTATCTATGTTTAAATTCTTTAAGGAGTTTACCGCAGTTATGAATTTATCCATAAATAATTCAAAATTAGCGGCGGATGCTCGACCCGACAATTTAAGATTGAAAGCCTGGTCTAAATAAAACGATGCCAAGACACGAGTATCCTGGTATCTATCAAGGAGCGATTGAAAAATTATATTATAATTATCAGAGCTTGGAGTCACACCAGCAAATACTGATTGAGCCTTAGGGGACAGCTTTCCGATCAGATAGTATAGTTTGTCTGCGTCCGTGAGTGTTTGGTTGTCGTGAACCGTAGATTTAAAACTAGCATAAAATAACGGCTAGTTACTAATATTTCCGTCAAACGCGACAAGTTCTATAGGCGGAAGTCTATGTTTTGGACATAGGAGTCGTGGTGCCGGCACTAACTGACGATGATGAGTTTGAACACTTCATCATTACGCTCTTTATAAAACAATACAGGTCTTCAAAAGACGCGTAGGCTTGATAGTTAGACTGAGCTGTGGGCTCGATAGTCAATAGCTGTTTATTGTACTCATCCAATACGGAATGAAACTCTGTGCGAATCATGTCCACTGTTATGCATGAATTAAGGAATTTATCTTTACTATCTTGAGTTAATTGTGCATTTTTAGCTAATTCATAAATATCTTGAACGCGTTCGAATAAAGCATTACGTTTTGCTAAAAGTATACTCAATAACTGCTTACTTTCATTAGCTGATATTTTAGTCGCCATTTTTCTCGAAGCTTCTCGATACAGAACAATGGACAATAATCTTAGAAGCGGGTAGTTTTATGCGCGCGAACTACGTTTTCAATAAATAACTTAACAAATTGAAAATAATTATGAAATATAATTATAAATATTTAATAGCGATGTTTAACGAAAAGTATATTGTGTATATAATATATAATGTATATGCGGATATATAAAATAATCTTATAGGGTGCCTAATAGCGGGAAATTTAAGCAATTTATGTATAATATAGGCAACACTATAAGGGCGGTGAGAAGCTGCTTGAAAATACTTATTGAATATACAAGACAGCTTGTGAAGTATATAAGTAATAGGGATTATATAATTATATGCGGGTGTACAGGAAATAATTCTGTGAGAAATCCGGCTCGAAGGACCAAATAATAAGGTAGGTGATAATGGACTAAATAATTTCATGAAGCTTGTGTCCCTTCGATCCCGGACTGTAAAAAGGATGCTGGTGAAAAGGAAAGGGCGTTCATTACGTAAATTGCACGACTACCTTAGTAACTGCAAGGCGCCTTCTCCGTAGCTACTTCAGGATTCAACTCCAGATGCAGATGTTGTCGAAGTGGCGGTCGAATTTGCGGTTGTCCTTTCCTTTAGTGCGCACAAAGCTTCCCTATCACCTTTAATATATTTTATAAGATCTCGGCGCGGTAGTTAGTACTGTATTACTCTCGTGCCGACTGCTCTCGGCGCAAAATATATGCAATACGTAGGCGTGCGGGGTGAGGGGGGTAAGAACGCTCGAGAAGGATTTAAGAGTTCAGAGGGTAAATGTGGATTTTTTTGAGAAACGGCGCTAACAATTTGGCATACAATATACATGAAAGTTTTTTTTATTATGACCAACTATTAACTAAATTGCATAAATCAATATATAAAATTGTACAATAATGTTTTTAAGGGTTGGATAATAAAAGATAAATACATTTATCGAAATTAGTAACTTTAATGTAAATAATAACTAATGTAAGAACTATAAAGTAATGCATAATATACACTCGCTAAACATTCACTACTTTAAATAGTTCTGTATTATTTTTAAAGTATTTTATTCTTTATAGAGCATCTTAAACACAACGACCTTACAAGTACGTACAAAACTGTTCGGTAATAAAAATACAGAAATCAGTTTCAATATTCAAGAACTACTAAACGGCCGTGACATAAAGAAACAATAAATACCGCTGTTATTAATAAGGATTCTTTTTTATATTTATATAGATTTTTTTTTATATTTAAATATTTGCTATATTTGCTGCACCGATTTTATTCCTACGGTATTTATTTTTATTTCGGTTCCGTAGTAGGTACCTGAAGACATTAAATACTATAATTTGGAACATGATGATAAAGAAAATATTACGCTTCAATAAAAGTATAGATTTACTATAAATTTTTGTATTACTGCAAAAAACTACTACTGTGAAAAAGGTATGTAAGGACTTGATTATGTTTTTTTGTTAAACTTAAAGTTCCGTTAAATGACAATGTTAAAAAATCAATATAAACAATTACCAATATTCCATAAAAAACAAGGAAAGATTAAAAAAAATAACTGTGGCACGGCCAGGCAGCAGCCTCGGCTGTTGCACGAATGGGCAGGCCCGTCCGGGTACGTATCACGCCCTCACAGAAGACGGGCGAAAAGCGGATGTATAATACTTTCGCGTTTCGTCTGGTGAGTGAGGTAGCCGGAACGCAATTTAGAAAAGGTTGTCAACGCATCTGAAATCCTGGTCTAGCAGATGTCCGTGGGCGGCGGTATTCACTTAACATCAGGTGAACCACCTGCTTGCTTGGCAACTTTGACATAAAAAAAAATTACGGGTAAGGGCACTGGTTCAAAAAGGGCCAGATCACGTTGCCAAGGTTGCGTTGCGGGATTGCTGATTTGTAGTAATCAATCACCCACCGTACAGCCTGAACCTAAACCCTAGTGATTAGTCTCCTTCGTCAAGAAAGATCATCGAGGTAAGCAATTTTCCGACGACGAAGAGTTGAAGGCGGCAATAAATGAGCATATTTCCGACAAGGTAGAAAAATATTTTTGGAGGGTATTGAAAAGTTATTGTATATTGATGCGAGGGACATTGATAAATTATTTTCAGAATTTTCTGCTTAAATGCCTATTGCGATAATAAATTAAATGTGAATGTAATACGTAAATCGTATACATAATCATATGCATTATTTAATTATATTATTATAATAAATAGTATTACAATATTATAAATAATTTTTCCTTCATGCACGCACAAAGACACCTCTATCATTCTATTTAGATAAGAAGATACAACAAAGAAGATACAAATGGTATAGTTGTAGTGATGATGCAGAAAATAAAATAAACGTTCACCTACTACCCAATAGGTAGTTTACGTTATATTTTTAAATGTTAAATATTTAAAGGTTGTATTTTAAATATTTAAATTCCCGTGATCCGACAGTTGGTTATTGTTACGACTTTGAACATTTGATCTAGAACATTCTACGCTCTACGCTAATGCAATGCCCTGATACCGGTTTCAACAAAACCTCCATCTTCAACGCCATTTTAGAATGATCTGCCGCCACTTTGTAGCGCCGGACGAAATGTGCCAGAGTTGTCTTCATTGACGTCATCGCGTATGTTTTGCCTGGGATAAAACAACGCAATATTAGACTACCCCGACAATCATCTATTTGGATTTGATGTTTACATGTATAGGAAATATCACTAATACAAGTAAGATAAATGTACTTGTATTGTTCTGCTCCTCACAAAACTTCTATTAATACAAGCTCATAAAAGGCATAAATGTATACTAAATTGGCGTTTGGGCTTAAATTTAAGTCCCGTCTACCTACCATTTTTATAGCATTGCCAAGGGATTTGTGAAAAATGTTTTGTAACCTATACAATTCCGTCTTCCCAAGCCAAAAGCCAGAAAGGTGTGAGCGTTATCAGGCAATGTAGAAGGGTCCAGCCATCTCTCCGGTTTGAACTCCCCCGCGTCTTCGCCCCACATCGGATGACGGTGGATGCCGTATTGTGATATAATACAAGTGTTGCCAGCCAAAAGCGTGTAATTTTCTGTAACAAATAAATAATGTGTCAGCAGTGATGACTGACCAAGACGTAGTCCTTCAATGATGGTCGTATGAGGAAGCTCAAAGTAGAACATATCCTCAGTAGAGATAGAAATCTGCAGTGGAAATGGACCGGTCATGTACCTCGTAGAACCAATAACCGATGGAAGGTTCATAGTGGCAGTTCATAGTGGCAGCCCCGTGCTTGGCATAACAGTGTACGACGACAAGTCACTATAGATTTAAATAAATAAAATGATTAGGATATTTAAATTAATTAATTTAACACTCACTAACATGTTACTCACTCAACTTCACATCTTTGTCTATACGCCTCGCCACGATTGGTGCCACCGGGTATATTCTCATGGTTTCTTTAATGACGGCTTCTAAGTAGACTAAGCGTGAAAGATCTTCTCTCGCTACATCTCTGTCAGTGTCACCAAATACATCTTTTAACCTAAAACCAAGGAAAGCTTGACTTTGATTAAAGCTGTTGCGGTTGCTAAACTTGGTGAACATTGTCTTCTTACTCGCTCAGAAGACGTTCCTGGACTTGCTTATACGAGCCGATGAGAACGAGAGTGAAACACATCACAGAAGCGATCGTTTCGTATCCGCTCACGATAATCGTATCCACGTGCTCCCTCACTTCCTCTTCGGTAAAGAGAACTTGCTGTTCAGACAGCTCCAATAGTAGTTCTAAGAACGGCTTGCACTTCGCAACTACAAATGATGATTATTTCAGCGTATTAATAAGTTAAAAAAGTAAAGTAAAGTAACAGCCTATACATGTCCCACTGCTGGGCAAAGGCCTCCTCTATACAGAGGGTATCAGGGCATAGTCCACCACGCGGCCCCACTGCGCATTGGCGGACTTCACATATCTTCGAAAAATATTGTTTTTCTTATTATTTTCGAAAATATGCCAGGTTTCCTCACGATGTTTTCCTTCACCGCGGAGCACGTGATAAGTCAGTACTTAAAGTTAAAAACTTCATTGGTGCCGGAACCGGGGATCGAACTCAGGTTGCTCGAGTGTTTAGTTGTCGACGGTTCTAAGTTAAATAGTTACATATTTACTTATTATTTAAATATTTACTTATTATTTATTAAGTAGTAACACATTTACTTATTATTCATTTATTCATTTTATTTCTCTCGCATCTACAACATCTCACGCGCTGTAGATGTCGGTATTCACTTAACATCACATGAACCTAAGGCATGCTTGCCAACTTTTCACGAAAAAAAATATGTACTAATGTTATTTTTAAATTTTTGTTACATACCCGAAATATTATGATTGGCACGTTGGTCACTCGGTTTTTTTTTATTTTCACGTTTACGCCTCCGGATAACCTTAAAACGTTTCCGATATTAATCATATGTAAAGAATTGAAATCTGTTTTTGTTTGCGATGGTAAAAATAATACATACGATAAAAAAAAAATTCGGAAATTATAAAAAATAATTAATGAAAATAATTCAATACAAAATCGTGGTTATGTTAGAGAGTCTTGAAGAAGTAACAAACAATCGATTTTATCATGACCGAAGCAAATATATTATTATTGTTACTTAATTGTACTTGAGATGAAAAAAAAACTGAGATAAGAAATAGATCGATTTGTTTGATCTCACTTATAATGATACTATACGTTACCCCATTAGACACATTATGTAGAATCTCAATGCAATTGTCTTGTTTTTTCTTTAAACTGCTGCACTTGAAGGTGAAGTCGAAATATAACCATGGCGTTTTAAAGCGCTTCTGGAATAAAACCAGTACTTCATCTACCGCTTTCATGTAGTTATTATCAATAACTGTATCGCCAGTTAAATCTAAACCCATTGCGGTCACTGCAAAAAAGGAAAGTATATACTCTTAATACTATCTTACATTTCTTACTAGCTGTAATGATAAAATGTCCTTACCAACTGTCCTTGCCAAACAAGATGTAGATAATTGTCCAGTGTCGTAATACTTGGTGTATTAAAATCTTTATCAAATTAATCGAACTTGTTTTGGTTGTAGGGTTTAGAAATAAAATTTCAATTTAGAAAAAATATTTTTAGAGTTAGTGGGTTCTTTGCCGCATTCACAAAGTTTTACAAGTTTTATCCAAAAATCAAGAACGTAAAGTCCATGTTCTTTTAATTTTTTGACAATAAGTGCAAAAATAAAGAAATGGCCCAAAGCAATATTTCTCAAAGAGGGAGGTACCGCCCCACAGTGGGCGCTGAGGCTATCAGAGAGGGCGATTGAAACTTTAATTAATATTGGTAGCCCCCCAATAATAAAAATCGGTTGGCGGTGGAAAGTAGGTCGGTACGTTGAAAATCAGTTGTCCAACAGTCCAGACATTTACTCATCTAAAAGTTATTGTTAGCAGTGCTACTGCAATTTTAGATTAAAAATTTCAAGTGCCTGTTGTTTTTAAATAAAAATAACATTTGTATTTTTGGTAATTGTTTACATTAGTACCACGTTATGGTTTATTTCCCTACACATTTCTCTAAAAAATTTAGATGAAGAGTTTCTTCGAGCCGTTAGGTATTCAACATATTTTAAAGTGGGCGTTACACCAAAAATCTTTGAGAAATACTGGCACAAAGTAATCAAGATTTAAAAATTCTACTTACTACAAATAGTTTCAAGGGCGTTTCGGCACATATAAGGCTGGTGGTCGAAGTTTCCTCTTGTATGTCTGGACACCTGTCCCACTAGTCGACGCGCTTGTCGGTTAAAGACGTCCATGTAGCTGTACATCACATGCTGACTGAACGTTGGATTCAGTAATTTTCGGTGATTCTTCCAGATTGGCACTGGAAAAGGAATCTTTATATTTATTACGTTTCCCGACGCAATCTTCAGTGGGAAAGTTCTAGAGTTCTAGAAGATTCTATAGCTTTATTGAGGCTATAACTATAGAGTGATGCATTGACAACTGCCACAAGCACCGTTTGCCATAAATTTTAGACGGACGGACGATAACAAAACATCGATGAGGCTTAATAATTTCTTTGAGCTTAAAAGTGTGCTAGTAGTGTAATTTTTTCATGTGCCTTACGAGCTGGTGGTTCACCAGATGTTAAGTGATAACCACCGCTCATTGACATTTACAACACCTATGCCACCTGCCTCGGCTAAATGAAACTAAGTAAATGAATTTTGACCACTAACCAACCTTTTGATGTAATCAGTCCGTTACCAAGCCACGGCTTTGCGAAATAATACATAAAGTTTTTTTCCAAGCAGGTATTCGCCACTGTTAAGGCGTCTTCGGGATCCACTATCACTGAAAATTATACATCATGGTCCTTTATTAAATACAATGAATAATATAATAATAATTTAAAAGAGTCAATAAAGCGGTCTAGAACTTAGACTGCGGCTAAGAAAAATTTATTTCTTTAATATAACTAAAGCTCAAATTAAAAAATAGAGAATATAACTTTTAGTTGTATTACTCTTAGTTATCATTTTCTTAAAAAATTAAGTATAATCATCGCTATTTGTTTTCAAATTAAAATATTGGTAAGTTTTCTCTATTGTCTAGAATTCAACAATGGTAAGTGACAAGTTCTTGGTGTTATGAAAAAAAAAACCTTAATACTATTTAACTTTACGATTTCTTACTTTTTTAATTTTTCAATAAATTGCTGATACTTATTAAATTAATAAATGAATTATCAGTAATGAAATCATACAATAATCTTTATGAAACCCGAAGTGTAACACTGTTGCATCGCCCGTCTTCAAGCAGTGACGCGACACTTCTTTGACCGTTGCCAAAACGTCTGTGAAAAAATTTTTCACAGTTATTAGATATACAGTCGATTGCGCAAATTTATCGTATGATAGAAATGTTCTAATAAAAACCGGCACGGTCTCGCACTAAGGGTTCCGTACCGTTATATATAAAAATGGCAAAAAAAAAAATATGTCTGTCGTATAGGAGCCCCATTTAATTATTTTTCTGTTTTTTAGTATTTGTTGTTATAGCGACAACGGAAATACACCACTTGTGAAAATTTCAACTGTCTAATTATCACGGTTCACGAGATATAGCCTGGTGACAGACGAACGAACAGAAAGACAGACAGCGGAGTCTCATTAATAGGGACCCGTTTTACCCTTTGGGTACGGAACTCTAAAAATGAAGCCTTAATAAGACTCCTTAAAGATGGGAAAAAAATATTGATGGCGGCTATAAAATAGGTAAAACGAACGGATATTTATGATATATAACGGTTATTTTTATGGGAGGCAGAGTTCAGCAGTGCACTCAAACAGGCTAAAATGATGGTGAGGATGAACGGATATAACTTTTAACTAATTCAGTTTTATTATTTTATATATATTTTCGTAGCTGACATTATTTACTTAATTTAAAAATAGAGCACCTATTAAAATGCTTGAACCCACCAACATACTATAGAGAAATGAGTAAATTTTGCCTAATTAGCTTTATTGAATGTTAATTTATATATTTGATTATTATTCTTTCTATTTCGTAGTCTTTGAATAAATTCTGGTTGTGTATTCAAGTTCGATGATGAATTTTCTTTCAAGAACGTGCTTTCCTCTGAATAGAATAATTTAGCTAACGTATACTAATAGTATAAATGGAAGCTAAAAGTAGAAAAAAACATGTCGTTACTATCAGTCCGTCCCTTGACCATGGACCGTGTAAAGGGTTCGAAAACGGGCATTAAAACCAAAATAAATGCGATAAATCCGTAAACATAGTTTCATTTAGTAATGTCGTTACTATGTTAAACTGTCTTATAACCTATCAACAACATATGAACTGCACGCACTCACGCACAAAGATTCGCATTCAAAATATTTAAGTGATGACTTACCGCAACCGTCTCCCAGCAGCAGGGGTAAGTGACCGAGCAGCGGGAGTGCCCCAGGGTATTCAGGTGGTTCCAGAACTCTTCGTCGGAGTCGGTACCGACACCAGAGCATCGCACAAACCGCCATGACAAGCCACAGCGCAAGCATACTAACGCAAAGATATTATACACTGTATTATTTGTACCAATAACACTATTAAACATTGCCACAGCGAATAAATGTTAAAGAAACAATATTAATACAACTTCAATTTATTCGTCCATAATTCATTATTTTATTAAATTCTATCTTTCAATTAACTAATGTGCCGAAAACGTATAGTTTCTTCGTTAAATCGCTGAAGTTATGTTTTAAATATATAATCATAATTAATTTAATGAGTTTTTACTGCCTTGGTATAACGCAATTTACATGAGAAATGCCATATTGGACACATTTATAATTCTATCCGTAATTTTTTTTACCCAAGTATTCCAGTAAGTAATAATTTGAATACATTAAGTAACATGAAATTATAGAAAAGTAACCTTCACATTAAAAATATTTTTTTTTGTTGAATCTTAATAAACAAATTATCATTTTTGTCTATTCAGTAATGTTAAAAAATGCTCTTTTTGTACGAGTCTCTAAGCAATTGAGACTCATTTTAAATTCTTTAGGTACATTTTTTCTCCGTGAAGACAAATTAGGCATCGCTGTGAAAAACCTTGAAAAAATTATAATTTGAATACATTGTTTAGTAACCTTTACATTATACAATATTTTATGGTTGAATCTTAATGAGCATATGATTTTTGTCGCTATAATGTGTCGAAAAAAAGTTTTTTTTGTAAGAGTAGTAAATTTTGTAAAGCATTGGCAGTAATAATTTATTTTTGATAGAAATTTGAAAGTTCCAATTGGTCTCCATTTCTTTTTACAAACTACCTACATAACATTCACTGCCATTACAGTTTCAATAAATTTATTTCAGATGTCTCACTGCTTTTAACTACCCATTTTTATGAGGATGCGGAGGGTCGTCCTACAATAATCAATAGGAATAAACTACGATAATAAAAGGAGGCTGCCACTCGAGAAACTTTCTTCCCCAATGGTGGTTATTGGTTCTTTATTCGGTTTTTTAAATTAAAATATTCAAAAACGACATTGTTTTACTATTCAGTAATCATCATATTGTTTTTTTTATGTGAAAAGTTGCCAAACGAGCAGACGGTTCACCTGATGGTAAGTGAATACCGCCGCCCATGGACATCTGCTACACCCGAGGGTTACAGATGCGTTGACAACCTTTTGAAAATTGGGCTTCGGCTACCTCACACACCAGACGAAACGCGAAAGTATTTGTCATACTTCCACTTTACGCTGGTCTCTCAGAGAAGACGTGTCGTGGTACTTACCCGGACGGGCCCGCCCATTCGTGCAACAGTCGAGGCTGCTGCGTGGCCCTACCATCGTTAAACGGAATATACTAAGTTTGTCGCAATATTAGCGGGTGTTGCTATATGTGTGTGGTGCTGATACATATACATAAACACTGCTTGGCAGAACAGCTCAGTACAATTTGCTACTTATTGCTTCATCACGACAAATTGCTCATGATCAAAACTTTGAACATTGCATTATCATAATTCTTACAACTCTCGTTTGGAATCGTGTGCCTCCATTTTTTCTATCCTTAACCGCACTATCATACCAAAGCATTGATTCAGTCTCCCGCGTACATTGCCTAAAACATGTTACAAAACCTGAACACTTATCTTGATACTTGATTATTAGAATTGTTATAGTACTCACATATTCTGGTCGTTATGATAGACTACTACGTCCATTTAAGTCCGTCTCCTATGCCGTTTGACAAGCCAATGCCACGACCGCCTGCCCCCTTACCTATTTTATTCGTTTGGCCGTTTTGTGTTTTTGTTATACCATGGGTACAAAAAGCATATTAAAACCCTCGGATTAGAATGATATCAATGTTACTTTTCAAAGATTTGAATGTGTAACCTTGAATCAAATATGCCTCAATTTTTTTTATTTAATTTGGTATAAGTAGAACGGGTTGCATATCATATTAGGAATAAGAACATCCAGAGTCCGACCTTAGGGTAAGGATGCTATCTCTAATATATAAAATTCTCGTGTCACGGGGTTCGAACTTGAACTCCTCCGAAACGGCTCGACCGATTTTTACCAAATTTTATATGCGTATTCAGTAGGTCTGAGAATCGGCTACTATCTATTTTTCGTCCCCCTAAATGTTAAGGAGGTGGTCCACCCCTAAATTTTATTTTTTATTTTTTATTTAAAACTTTTTGTTTCAATTTTTTTATGACACAGCATACAAAATACATACAACCCTAAATTTTCACCCCTCTACGCAGACGTAGTCGCGAGCAGCAGCAAGTATGATTATAGAAATGCGAGAGTTATAAATCAATATATAGATACTTTTATTTAAGTACTAGCGACCAGCCCCGGCTTCGCACGGGTGCAATGAATTACACATATAAACCTTCCTCTTGAATCACTTTATCTAGTAAAAAAACCGCATCAAGATCTGTTGGGTAGTTTTAAAGATCTTTACCGGACGACTTTGTTTTATACTACGTAGTGACTAAGTTTATTACCTTTATACGGAAAAAGTATAATTTAAAGTAGCTTTCTACGTCAGCTGCTATGGCTACTTGCTACTTGCGAGAGAAGTGTAATTTATCATGTAAATTTTATCATAACTGTGAAAATAATTGTTCATCACTAATCATATTATGATAGAGATTTAAAGTTATTTTCTAGATTTTTTTTATTAGAAGAAAATATTCCATTATTATTTGTAATATAAAAAAAGTTAAAATAAAAACCTGATGTAAATTTCCGGCGCTTCGGTGAAACTCAAAGTGGAAAGAAGAGGAAGAAAGTGAACAAAAGGAAAAGTGAAAAGTGAAGTGGACACTGAAGTGTTAGTAAAAGCGAGAAGCGGTCAAGAAGTATCTGTGGATAACAATAGGCCGGTTGCACCAGTAGGGGTGTAAGGGGAGGACATGAGCGACATATTTAGTGTTTGTAAATAAACTGAAGGTTTAGAACCGACGCCTTTCACTCCAATCTCGCAACCATTGCTCGTTATATTAATTTCGGATTTAAGTAAAGATAGCAATTAATGTCGCCAAATTGACAGAATCATCTGATATTTAGTGATTATTTCGGCTCATGTAGGGTTGTGAATGCTACACTACATGGTGGGCTCTGGTTACCAAGTTCACAGGCGAAAGGCAAAAGCATGGATACTTATATTAGCTTTATACCACATAGAATGACACTTCCTTTAGTGTTGGCAACACTTTTTTTCTATGTGAACATTTCCCAAGCGACCAGACAGTTCACCTTATGTAAGTGAATAGCGCCGCCCATGGACATCTGCTACACCCGAGGATTGCAGATGTGTTGAAAACCTTTTGAAAATTGGCCTCCGGCCACCTCACTCACCAGACCAAAAGCGAAAGTATCATACTTCCACTTTACGCTGGTCTTCTGTGAGGTCGTTGTACTTACCCGGACGAGCCTGCCCATTCGTGCAGCAACCGAGGCTGCTGCGTGGCCTTACCACGGTACAATTTTACACTGATCACCAGGAAGGCAATGGTAATTTAATGAGTGAGTTCAAACATATTTTCAGTCTGCTGCAGGGTAAAATCGGTGATTAATCCAACGAGGACATAACAAACTTCTCGATTCTTCAGGATTTTTGATGTATTTTATATGATACTAAAGTAACGCGGCTATATAAGTCCAACCGCAAGGCAAAGGCGTCCTGTGTACAGAGGCTAGGCATAGTTCACCGCGCTACCCCACTGCGGATTGGTAGACTGTCTTCGAAATATTTTTGATTATTTTTATTCTGAAAATATGCAGATTTCCTCACGAAGTTTTCCTCCACCCTTGAGCACGTTATTTTGATGTCAATACTTAAAATTGCATTCAACAATTCCATTAGTGCCAGTACTTGGGTAGGATTTGAACTCGATCGGGATCGAACTCAGGTTGCTCGAGTATAATATTAATATTAAATTTAAAGCATGTGCGCGGCCACTGACTTATCACAGCTTTCTGTGAGCAAGGATTTCAACCTAACTTGTATTTAAGCTCCTGATTTGCCGTACATCGTGACAATTTTCGTTTCAGTGCTCATAATTTTCTAAACTTTTCGTCAAGTCTACTAAAGGAAGGTTCCACTCTGCTGATTGGCTTTATTTTTTCCGTAAAAAGTTCTACCAAGCCCCATCTTTTGACAACCATCATGATAATATATACAGCCAAAGTTTAAACTGATTCATAACTGTACGGAACCGGTCTTCCATTAAATAATGCATACATCAAGTGCTGGCTCCCAGGGTATTGTATTTTCCCGTCTGACCGGCTTGTGGTTGCGGAGGGGCTTAGTAGCCGTGGCTTCTATGTGGATATGATTGTGGATCTACTGCTATGTAGGTAGTCCCATAAACCAACTCCAAGACGAAAACCGGCGATAGCCCAGGTGGTGACAGTTATCAAAAAATGGAAAAAAATCTTTGTCATGTACCTCCTATTAAAACTCAAAAACAGACAGACAGACAGCGGGACAAAGTCGTCCCGCTGTCTGTCTGTCCCTATGTATGATTAGATCTTTAAAGATAGAGTGATTCAAGAGAAAGGTTTATATGTACATTGCATCCGTGCGAAGCCGAGGCGGGTCGCTAGTATACAATATCCATGGTCAACGCGAATCAATTAACACCAGTCTGTCTGCTGTGAACTGCCTGGTAGCTTGCCTAACGTTACATAAATATATTAGTAGAATTAGTGATCTGAGAGCTTAATAGATGGAAAAAATTAACACACGTAAATACATATATTTTTTTATTATTATATCGATGTTTGTACCTTAGCATGACCCCTATAGATAAACAGTTAACCGCATCCATATTTAATTTTTGTAATTAATAATTTAATTTCATAGTTCACATAAATTTTAATCACGAAATAGAATTTGAAAGTTTTATAAATATGATATTTGAAACACAGATCTAACCATGGTCATTTTATAACTTTAATGACACACGGAAGTATTTACTGAGAATGTAATTCTGCTGTAAAGATATTTTTTTACTCGCTGGCTTATTGGCGGAAGGAAAATGAAGAGATCTACGTTGCTACTTTTCATATATTACTCTGGTAGCGACGATTGATAAAGTGGAATAGCACTTTCTGCATGGTTATTCCACTTGCCAATAGTAGTGCTTTGTAATACCTCATTTCAGAAGCACACTGCAGCCCTATTTTTGTTCGTGGTACATTCAATTCAAATTCAGGCACCGTTATTTAATTTTATACCGATGCAAAGCATAGCATTTCTCTGCTGTATAACTAACTTTGCGAGTTGATTTCGATGTATATTATGCTGTCCCATAGCCTATACCCTAACTCTCTTCTCTATGCTGATGTGATGGCCCGACAAAGGTTTCAACAAAAACTCCAACTTCAACACCATTTTCTTGTGGTCTGCCGACACTATGTAATGCCGCAGTAGGTGTACTAGCGTTGTCTTCAACGACGTCATCGCGTATGTTTTGCCTGTAAAAATAATGCAGAGTAAAAGTGAAAGAGAATCATGGTTTTGGAACTTTAAGTTCACCTGCAAGTAAGGACACGGACGTGGTTCTTAAGCACAAACCAAGGACAAAAACCTGCAACTTAAGTGTGGTGGGGCCACGCAACAGTGGTCGGTGCACGAATGGGCAGGTCCATCTGGGTAAGTACCACGACTTCACAGAAGACCGGCGTGAAGTAGAATTGTCACACATCTGCGTTTCGTTCGGTGAGTAAGGTAGCCGGGACCCACTTTATTTGAAAGGTGGCAACGCATCTGCGACCGTGCTGGATTGGATGTTGCAAATATTCATGGGCGGCGGGTATCACTTAACAAAGGTGAACCGCCAGCTCTTTTGCCACTTTCAAAAAAAGAACATTGCTTTATACTAGTATAAAATGCTTTATGTAGTTTTATTAAATGTATAATATAAATGAAATGTGGACAAGACTGCAATTTAGTAAGCCACGTATTTATGAGTAAATCTATATTTACTCTACTCTTAAATTTTGAATTGGAAATGAGTCAATTAATTATTCCCCATTTTTCCACAATAAGAAATGAACGTTTCCTGTCTCTCTTAAAAACTTATGTGCAAGAACAAGTTAAGCATATTATAAACATGTTTTAGTTGATATCAACAGTTAATTTAAACCGTTGGGATACACTCGAAACTACTCAACCTTAAAATATATGGAGCCATATTTGACTGTGTAGGAGAGTCGTCCGGATAAAAATATTGGCCTAATATTCCTGAGGTGGAAGTACTATACTTTCGCTTTCGTGAGGTTAGTAAGGTACCGAAGCTGAGTCTTAAAAGGCAGATAATGTTTCTATAACCTCTACGGTGGTAGGGCCACGCAGCAGCCTCGGCTGTTGCACGAATGGGCAGGCCCGTCCGGGTAAGTACCACGACCTCACAGAAGACCAGCGTAAAGTGGAAGTATGACAAATACTTTCGCGTTTCGTCTGGTGAGTGAGGTAGCCGGAGCCCAATTTTGAAAAGGTTGTCAACGCATCTGTAACCCTCGGGTGTGGCAGATGTCCATGGGCGGCGGTATTCACTTAACATCAGGTGAACCGTCTGCTCGTTTGACAACTTTTCACATAAAAAAAAAAAAAAAAAACCTCACAAGTATTGTATAACACCTCACAAGTAGTGAAGTGAATTATATGTGATAATAATTGAACGACTTACGAAATTAATTATAATTGCGGTAACAATTTATTCCCCTCTACAATAATCTATACAGTTCTCAATTAAAAATGTTTGATGACTCCGAGGCGCAGTTGCCAAGGTATTGGCTCCGGCGTCGGGGGTCGTGGGTTCGATTCCCACACGGGACAACTATTTGTGCGACCCACAAATAGTTGTTTCGCATCTGGGTGTTTGTCCTCGTGCAATTTATGTTTGTAAAACTTCCTTACAACACAAGATAATGTTATCCTAAAGTGAGGGCAATGTTTATATAAAAAAAAAAATGTGAAAAATTTCCCATAACCTATACAATTCCGTCTGCCTAGTCCGAAAGCGAGAAAGGTGTTAGCGTTATCAGGCAATGTAGAGGGGTGTAGCCATCTCTCCGGTCTGAACTCTTCCACGTCTTCGCCCCACATCGAATGCCGATGGATGCCGTACAGTGACAGAATACAAATATTGCCTGCCAACAGCGTGCTTTTTTCTGGAACATTAAGTTAAAATATTATGACATGTCAAAGAAACTATGCCACAGATTATTTTAATCGTTAAGTTACACAAAAAGTTGTTAATGCCATGAATTATTATTCGTTGACAAGATGGTACCTGCATTTTATATGCTGTTGCAGTTCCCTTTAAATTAATTAATCAAGACCAGTTATGTTCTCATTGAGTAGACATTGTCATGCGCTGTAAATGTATTAACTTACTCAATTTTACATCTCTGTCAACACGTCTCGCCACGATTGGCGCCACCGTGTATACTCTCATTGATTCTTTTATCACCGCTTCCAGATAGACCAGGCGCGATAGATCGTGTCTTGTTACATCTCTGTCAGTGGCATCAAATACGTCATTTAATCTAAAAAATAATAAAAAGTTTCGCGTTAAAATTTTGTTATTGCTAACCGAACAAGATAATCTGCTTTATGAGCAAGTTGTTTCCTTACTCGGTCAAAATTCGCTCCTGAACTCTCGGATAGGAACCAATAAGAATTAAGGTGAAACACAGCACAGAAGCGATCGTCTCGTATCCGCTCACGATAATCGTGTCCACGTGCTTCCTCACTTGATCGTCAGTGAAGAGACCTTGCCCTTCAGACATCTCAAACAGCAATTCTATGAACGGCTTGCTCTTCGGTTCTGCGTAGTTAATTTGTACCGAATAGTGTTGTTAATTATTTCAAACTGGTATACGAACAAGGAATACACAGGCAAATAGACGATTCATTATTATTAATATTTATTTATTTTGTCATCTGGTTGGGGTTACAAATAAAAATAAACATATTAATATATCACTACATAGTATAAAACAAAGTCGTACCGCTGACTGTTTGTCCTTATGTATGGTTAGATCTTTAAAACTACGAAACGGATCTTGTTGCGGATTTTTTTACTAGATAGAGTGATTCAAGAGGAAGGTGTCAAATGCAAGCCGGTGCGGGTCGCTAGTATTGTATATAATAAATAAATAAATAAATAAATAGGACCCAACCAGACGGACCTAGGCAAGCGAGTCCAAACGCCCAAGGGTTAGAGCGAATGACGGTATAGAAGTGCACCGGCTTCTAATTAGTTATTGGTGTACTCCAAACAATGTCGCGAGATAATTGCTATTACTATTGTGTTGATACTACGCCTGCTAAATAAGGCATAACGTCCTCACTATTGACGGCATGCTATGTACAAAGATCTTTCGATTCTTTGTTATTACATTGGGAATTTTTATTTGTTTTTTCCCTTTTATGTCAATGTTGACAATTATTATATTGGGGGGGATATTCATTTGTTTTCTCGTCTGGTTGGGTTTTTGATCAAACGGCCGAGGGTTAGGGCGAAAGGGAGAGAAACCGACGGACGATGCGGGCGGTATTGACAATTATTATGTTGGGGGAATATTCATTTTTTTTTATTATGTTTATTATTATGTTTGTTATTATATACACATTAACATACCCGAAACATTGTCAGTGGCAATCCGGTCGCATGTCGATTTCTTTTTATTTTCCAGTTTCCATTTCCGGATTACCTTAAAACGTAACCTAATGTTAAGTATATTAACAGGTTTTGATTAATATGATGTTCCATATGTATTAATTATTTATTTGTATTTATTCACATATTTGTCAATGATATGATATTAATGATGCAACTGTGGTAGGGCCACGCAACGGTATTCACTGTTGCACGAATGGGCAGGTCCGTGCGGGTAAGTACCACCACCTCACAGAAGACCGGCGTAAAGTCGGAAGTGTTACATTTCTGTGTTTCGTCTGGTGAGTAAGGTAGCCGGGGCCCACTTTATTAAGAGGTGGCAACGCATTTGCAACCTTTCAGGTGTTGCATATGTCCATGGGCGGCGGTTATCACTTATGTTAACATCAGGTGAACCACGAGCTCGTTTGCCACTTTCTCACACAAAAAAAGACGTAAGGAACAATTTTCTTTAACGCAAATCTTGATTTTGTATAATTTTAATGTAGAATGAATAAAGCGCCGTGAGAAAATACTAAAAGTGATATTTTTTCTTGGTCGTGTTGTAGTTCTAGTAGATGATTCGATTTTAGTATTTTTTTTATCTGGCGAGCTAGCTGTGAGATAAAGAGTAAACATGATTATTCATAGCAATGAAATATGTTACCTGACTAGATACGTTATGTACGATCTCGATGGATTTGTCCTGTTTCTTTTTCAAAGCGCTCAGCTGAAAGGTGAAGTCGAAATATAGCCAAGGCGTTTTAAAACGTTTCTGAAGGACGGTCAATATTTCATCTACTGCATTGATATAACTGCTGTCGATAACTGTATCACCAGTTAAATCTAAACCCATTGCGGTCACTGCAAATTCAGAAAGAGTTGTGAGAGACTCGGTCTTACAATGAAAGATAACATTATAGCTTTATATGAGCTACTATATTAGATTTTTATATTAGCTTTTAAACATTTGTATACTTATACCTACAAATACAAAACTTTACATCATATTGATCAAAACAATTTAACAATATGATTAGTTTGGTAAAAAGGATTTATCTGTTTGTTGTAAGCACAAAAGAGTTTTCACTCTACACATCTATATCCCACAAGTATATTTTGCCTCTACAGTATGGTCAATAGGTAGAAGAAACCACACATTCATTTAGATATTTATTTCTGCTTACTGCAAATAGTTTCTAGAGCATTCTGGTGCATGACAGGCAGGTGGTCGAAGTCTCCTCGATTTGAATGCCTAGCCAACTGTCCCACTAGACGACGCGCCTGTCGATTGAAGACGTCCGTATAGCTGTACATTAAATGCTGACTGAATGTTGGGTTCAGCAGCTTGCGGTGTTTCTTCCAGATCGGCACTGGAAAATGATACGACGCGGATTAAGCTCGTCCGATCTTAATTTTTAATTATGTGGTTGCATCTTGGGAAGCTTAGTTCAGAAGATTTTTTTTCCTATTATTGCTCCACTGATACGTCATGAGGCTGGAATTGTGGAGTGATTGCATTGAAAATTAATACAGGCCATTAATAGGCCACAAACTTCAGACCGACAGTTCATAGAACATCGATGGGGCTTGGTAATATTTATTTCTAGCACGCACATGCGCGGCCTCACTGTGGAGGGCCTCAAACCCGTGGGTTCTGGCTTGCCCACCGGTTCTGCGTTCGACGAAGCTTTAATAGGACTCCGTGGCGCGCTTGCCAAGGTATTGGCTTCGACGTCGGGGGTCGTGGGTTCGATTCCCACACGGGACAACTATTTGTGCGACCCACAGATAGTTGTTTCGCATCTGGGTGTTTGTCCTCGTGCAATTTATGTTTGTAAAACGTCCTTACAACACAGGATAATGTTATCCTAAAGTGAGGGCAATGTTTTAAACAAAAAAATAGTCTCGGGACTGAAAGCGTTAACATCAGTTAATACAAGATACAAGATAATATTTACATGTGGAAGTAATCAATCCGTCACCGAGCCACGACTTCGCGAAATTGTACATAAAGTTCTTTTCTAAGCAAGCGTTCGCCGCTGTTAAGGCGTCATCAGGATCGGCTATGACTGAAAATTGTGTGAAGATAAGTTAAATGTCTTCATGTTATATTCATCACAAAAATAAGAATCTGGGGTGACAACATTGCTAAAAATGGATTCAGAAAAATACATGAAATCGGTTTACGGTCTCCGTATACTAAGGTGGATTTTTATATCAATATTTTTTTTTTAGGTTAAGAGTTGTCAAGCGAGCAGGTAGGTTATATGATGTTAAATGAATTCCGCCGACCATGAACACCTATAAAACCTAAGGGTTTTTAGATGCGTAAAAAAAAATTATAAACAAGCCTATATTTTTTTTAACGAAAAACAAAACCGACTTCAAATATGAAGTATTATTCTCTGTATTCATTTTTTAATTGATTTTCAGGAGTACCTTAAGTATCTCCGGAGCCCAAGATCTAATACCAATGAAATAAAAAGACAATCTTTATTGATCTAATATTTACAAGATTAAATCTATCTAAAATTACATATTATGCAATAAACCTAATCCACGCGGCATGGTGCCAAGAAGGCTAGCTGCATTTCCTCGCTGAATAGTTATGCTTAACCTTTGAGCGAGAAACGAACCAGCTCAAAAAAACCAATGAAATTATTATATATATAATTATATATGTGCCCACATGGGAAGCACCAGCTTTCAAATAAAAAAAGAATCATCAATATCGGTCCACATCAATATCGGCCGAAAGTTCTGAGGTAACAAACATAAAAAAAAAATCAGTTGAAAAGTGGGCCCCACTAAACTACAAAGTGTAACACATTCACTTCACGGCGCCGCTCTTCTGCGAGTCTGTGGAACTACCCCGAACGGACCTGCCCATTCGTGAAACATTGAAGACTGTTACATGGTCCTAACGCTGTCAAGAATGTAATGTAATATAATTTCTTACAGCAACGTTATCTCGTTCTACCTTAATGTTTTAAGATACAATTGGATTTTTATTTAAGAAACGTGAATGATGAAATCTTACTGTAATCCGTATGAAATCCGAAGTGTACAGTTGTAGCATCACCGGTCTTTAAACAATGATGCGACGCTTCTTGGAATACTGACAATAAATCTGTCAAAACATTGAAAACAGTTTTTACACACAACAGACCAGAAAGAAGGAAGACTGACCCATTAACTTATGGTTAACAGTTGGGGAGAGAAAAATAAAAGTGAATCAATGTACCAATAAACAACGTTAACAGTAAAGTCAAGAATTATGTATAGCAGATTTTTAAAGAGTAAAGATTAACCGAGACTTTAACGGAGAAATCATGTTTATGTTTTATTTTGTTAATAAGCAAAATAATGCTAATTCATTAAGTTAGAATAGCTAAGTTAGGCTTTGGAGTTATAACGAGACGAATGGTTTAAAATAGTCGAAGTCTAGGAACTAGAGGCTATACGACTGACCTTTTTTATAGTATTCTATGGATTTTAGTTGTACGGTAGGAACAGATTACAGAATTTGAAAGAAACGAATTTTTTTCCTCGATACCCCACGTAATTTTTTGGGTTTGGATGGCAAAAGCATTTTGTATGTTAATCGAACTTATAGTATAACGATGATCGTTAATTGAATTGGTAACGATTAATGCCCGGTTCCTACATTCAACGAACGGCCGTTAGTTGCATAGCTTCGTAACTTTCATAACGATTTTTAGATTATAGGAACTAGTAACTCAATTTCAAAACCTCGTTTTTTAATATAGGAACCGGGCGTACATGCCTTGTATCTACAAGTCGTTATGAAATTTACGAAGTTATGCAACGTTAACGGCCGTTCGATGAATATAGGAACCGGGAATAAGTCGTCATCGCGAGATGAATCGAGCACAAACATTCGCCATAAACAAACATCGTATATTACTGAAATGACTTACGAGAACTGTCTCCGAAGAGAAAGGGTATGTGTCCGATCAGTGGGAATGCCCCAGGGTATTCAGGTGGCTCCTGAGTTGTACGCAGACGTCGAACGAACCAAAGCAACGCACTCACCGCCACAAGTAGCCACAGCACAAGCATACTAAACATCATTACACAAAATAAAAACATGAAACAAACATACACATGTTACAGGGCTAAGATACAATGTATACAGGGTGGCTTTTCTAAATGTGCCCAAATTCACACAAGAGGTTCAAACTCGGTAGTATCTTATGCTTTAAACGAGCAATTTTTGTATATATATATATATATATATATATATATATATATATATATATATAGAAACATATATACTATATGTATATAGGTAGAATATATAAAAAAGAAAAGTAAAGTAACAGGGGTCCCACTGCAGGGCAAAAAACAGAGGGTATCAGGGCATAGTCCACCACGCGGCCCCACTGCGGATTGGTGGACTTCACATATTTTCGAAATATATTTTTTTTTGTTATTATTTCGAAAATATGCAGGTTTTCTCACGATGTTTTCCTTCACCGCGGAGCACGTGATAAGTCAGCACTTAAAGTATTGGTGGTGCCGGCACCGGGGATCGAACTCAGGTTGCTCGAGTATATTGAATTAAAGGCGAGCGCCCGGACACTGAGCTATCACGGCTCACACTGAGCTATCATATATATATATATATATATATATAATTGGAATCTTGGAAACGGCTCCAGCGATTTTCATGAAATTTTGTATGTGCGTAGGTAGATTCGGGGGCGAAAAATTTATCTGACTAGGTTTCATTTTTAGAAAATGTCGTTTTATCCCAGTTTTCAGGGAAGAAAGGGAGAATGAAAAATATTATTCGAATACGACGGTAAATTTCACAGAAAAAAAAAATTATAATAGCTCGGTCGGTAATCGGGCGGCCGCTAACAAACAGCCACGAAACAGAAGGCCGTGGTTCGTATCACGATCATTTAAACACTTATTTTTTTACCCTTTTTTCAATTCCAGATCATTGCTTTCTTTATCTTTTATTTTTTGTCGATTTGTTATTTTGTTATTTTTTCCCTTTTTTTTTAAAGTTCTATCTTTTGTGAAAAACACCCGTTCATATTTTCTTATTATTACGTTGGTAAGATCGAGACATATTATGCATATTTCATTACTTAGTAATTTGTATCTAAATGTAATTTCCAAAATACAGGATTTACCAAAAAAAAAAAAACAAACCGAGCAAAGCTCGGTCCTCCAGCTACTAATCGTTTATTGAAGTAAAAACAAATATTTTTTTTCCAAAAAAAAAATTCAATTCTACTCCCTAAAATACAGACTTGTTGACAATGCCATAGTCATTATAAATGCGTCGTATACTTTTGAAACGAACTTTTGTGCGTATAAGTTATGAATGACCGCGGGTAAAGTAAATGAGTTGCCCATAAATCACGCACTTTTTGAGATTAGTTGGAGAATAATTAATTACGAGTAATTTTAAATATCTATCATTTTTATATAACATTATTTATGTCTAGAGTTTAATAAAAAAAATGGATACACTTAGAAAAGCCTCCCTGTTGATCTGTCCTAACTTCATTAAGCGCTTAGTAAAACTTTAACTAAATTCAAGTAAAGTAATAATTATATAATATGTATATTTTCTTTCAGACAAATACGTTCCAATTCGTTGATTACATTGAACGGAATGTCTAAGCTACGCTTACATTCGTGAAATTTACTTCGAAATAAAAAAAAATGCCACAATACAACTTCTTTAAAATTCGTAGCTTTTTTGCACTCAAACTATTGTAAGCCTAGTAAATAATGAGGAATGACAAAACATTTATTAAAGTTTATAGAAGACGCACAAATTACTTATCCACTTGATCTTGATGATCTAAGTTTTTGTTTTGTTTTTTTCTATCATTAAGCGCTTAAGTAGAAGTTATGGGATATAAGCGATTTTTTTTAAGGCAGTAGCTAATTATAATGTAGTTTGTAAGCAATGATTTCTAAATAATAGATGACGCACGTATTGTCTTCGACGCCGGGGTTGGGGGGTGGGTTCGATTCCCACTCGGTACAACTATTTGTTTCACCCACAGATACTTGTATCGGATTTGGCTGTTAGTCCACGTGAAATTCATGTATGTAAAACGTTCTTACTATAAAGGATTATGTGTACCTACAGTAAGGGAAAAGTTAAAAAATATATTATTCAAATCTTGCAGTTTTATGTCGTTGCAGGGTTAAACTAAATGTAAACAGTAATGAGAGTTTAAATGAATAACGCATATCTTATGCCACCAGTCAATCATGTTTAATAATATAGATGCTGCAAATATAAAAGCATTCTGTAAAAAAATTCAGAAGATAAATTCGTTGTAACGGCGGAACACAATTTTACAATTATGTCACAATTCTTCTGCGGTAGGGCAGGTCCGTCCGGGGAATTAACACTACCTCATAGAAGACCAACGTCAAGTGGAAGTATTATACTTCTGCGTTACGTTTGGTAAGGTAAGTGGAGCCCAATTTTTAAAAAGTGGTGCAACGTCAGGTGAACCGCCGGCTCGCTTGGCACATAAAAAGAACAATGAAGAACCAGGAAGTTTCAATTTCGAATTGCTTTAATTTTCATAATGAAACAGTTGAAGAAGGGGGAATATTTCTAAATTTAATTCAAACGCATGAAACTTTTATAAGATAATTGTTGACAGTTGAATTGATATATTAATAAAAAATTATAGGTCTGAAGGGTTCCCGTCGTGACATGTTATACTGTAAATGACGATATTAAACAATTATAAACTTAACGCGTATATAATGCATATGTAATAATTACATAATGAACCTATCCACACATAGGCTCGTAAGCAAACAAACGCAACCCAACATGGTCGTATCAGGCTCATGGGATCTCCCACTAGTTCTGCGTTCGACGAAGCTTTAATAATATATTGACTGAAATCCAAAACGTCATTTAAGTAAAGATAAAGAAGAATTGTAACTTAATTCGTGGCTCAATACAACCGATGGAACACTCACATTTTTAATTCTCTCCTTTAATACTTGAGACTACAGCCTCAACGTCTTACTTCAGGTCCGTTCCCGATGGCAGTTCACAACACAATGCCACTAATCGCCATTCCTCTCCACTTATCTTTTTTAATCTTTTTTTTTTTAATGTTACTAATGTCCGTATAAAATTCGCTTGCTAAACATTTCCGTTTAAAACAAAAATGGTTTTTATTCTCTTTGACTATATGATTAATAGATATCAGCGTATTGCATAATACCTGTATTTAGCGATAGCGGGTATTTTTAAATTCCCACTACTGGAAAAACATTGTGCGTTGAACACTTTTTTGCGTTTGGAAATCTTATACTTTAAACGAGCAATTATATATATATATATATATATATATATATATATATATATACATCGGAATCTCGGAAACGGCTCCAGCGATTTTCATGAAATTAAGTATGTGCGTAGATTCGGGGGCGAAAAATCGATCTAGCTAGGTTTCATTTTTAGAAAATGTCTTTTTATCCCTGTTTTCAGGGAATGAAAAATATCATTCGAATATGACGGTAAATTTCGCCACAAGAGTAAATGTCATAATAGCTCGCTCGGTTATCGGGCGGCCCCAAAACAGACGGCCGTGGTTCGTGTCACGATCATTTACACTCTTTTTTTTTACTTTTTTTTCGATTGCAGTTCACTGCTTTCTTTATTTTTTATGTTTTGTTGATCCAGAACATTTTGTTATTCTTTTCCCTTTTTTTAAAGATGTTTCTTTTGTGAAAAACACCACTTCATATTTTCTTATTATTAGGTCGGTAAGATCGAAAAATATTATGCATATTTCCATTACTCAGTAATTTGTATCTAAATGTAATTTTCAAAATACAAGATTTACAATACAGGTCCTCCAGGTACTTTACATATGAAGAGTACTTATCTATTCTCAAAAACAAAAAACTTAAGAAACTTAAGAACTTAAGAAAAAAAAAGAAAAGTATGCTTATCCTTTACCTAATACCCATAATAGTATCTTAGTTTGGAACTAATGAATGTTATGTTAAAATGTTTATTGATGGTTAGATTTCAAGTTGCGAAAGTTAAATTCCACCACGTAGACTTTTAATAACTTTAGAAATTCAAAAGAAAGACTAAATTTTAACTTAACTTGGTTAAGTTAATGTTTGGATTGATCCCGGCGGCTGAATTCCACCATCGGACATCGCGCCAGAACCAAATATTTCATCCACACCCCCTCGATGTCCAGCGTTCCAAAACAGCGCGATTTTTAAGGCATTTCTTGCCTCGCACAACCACTGTGGAACCAACTGCCGCCGGCGTTCTTTCCGAACCGTTACGACCTGGGAAACTTCAAAAAGAGAGCATACTCTTTCCTAAAAGGCCGGCAACGCATTTGTGAGCCCTCGGGTGTTGCAGATGTCCATGGGCGGCGGTGATCACTTACCATCGGGTAAGCCTCCTGCTTGTTTGCCCTTTTTCTCCATAAAAAAAAATTAAGATTAAAAACTGGCCAAGTGTAAGTAGCACTCGCGCACGAAGGGCACGTACCATCCATACTATACAGCGTGTCCACCGCGTTACCACCGTGACAATAAATGAACACACATATAGAGGATAACTTTTTAAAATTGTATTAAACATTTACATTCTTTAAACATCAATATTTACCGAGTTATTAAATTTTCCAAAATAAACAATTTTAGAACACCCTTACGTATAAAACTGTAACGTAAAGTTCATTTGTGTAAAGGTCACAAAGCATATGAATGGGTTGAATGAATTTAAAAGAGACAAAACATACTGTTAGAAGGAGAGGCTTGTAATGCGATGCTGTGGCGCACCCTTGTTATTTACGCTCTACATGAGCGACATACCTAGAGACCCCCACGTCAATCTCGCGCTTTTCGCGGATGACACGGCGCTCTTTTACTCAGATCGCAACCTCAGTCAATTAACGACTCGACTCCAAAGCGCCGCCGACCGCCTCGGCGATTGGTTCCGCAAATGGAGAATTGATATTAATCCAGAAAAAAGTGTGGCGATTCACTTCACTCGTCGCACCCCCAACCCCCATCCGCCACAC